CCCGCCGCCCGCGCCCGCGCCCAGCGCGCTCCGCGAGGGGTGACCCCGACCCCAGCAGCGCGCACCCTCCTTTTGGGCACCCTGTTTCCCTCCCTCCCTCACGGAGGCCACCCCGTGGCCCTCACCTGTCATGCAGCGGGGAGGTTTCGTGGGGTTCCCGTGGCCACGTGCGGGGCAGGGATGGGGGGACGCGAAGTCACAGTCCCAGGAAACACCGCCGAGACGTCCCGCGACGACCCCAACATGCCCGGCGGGCGGGGACGCCGGCCCCGCGCCCCGTGTCTCACCGGCCGGCCGGCGCCACCGCCCCGGGCCGGGCTCCGCGGATCGGGACCCGGAGACATCCCCAGCCAGGCAAGACGGGGCGAGGGCCGAGAAGCGGGGCTCCGTCTCCGACCCGGCCGCCACGAGGCTGCTCCCTTTCTCCCGGAACCTGCCCCCTTCTCCGGGAATCTACATGGCATCTGCATCCCAATCCCGGCCCGGCGGGGGGCGGGGGTGGGGCCTGGGGCGCCGCGCGCCCACCCAATAGCGGCTCAGGGTTGGCTGGGGGCTGTGGCCCGGGAGTCCCGTCCTTCCCCCACTCTGTACCCCCGTCCTTCCCCCACTCTGTACCCCAGAGGCGCCCTCCCTCCCGGTCGCCGCCTGCGGAGAGGAGGGGGCTCGCCATGGAGGGGGCGGCTGCGCCCGCGCCCAGCCGGGCCGGACCCCGCTGCAGCCGGGCCGCCTCGCACACGGTCCTGGGGCCCTCGCGGTCGCCCACGCAAGGGAGAGCCAAACAGTTCGAGGCTGACAGGCAGAGAGAGAGGGACCCCCCCCCCCAGACACGCCGGGCAGCCCCAGCTCTGAACCCGGGGCGCGGCGGGGGAGAGGCGGGAAGCGCTCCAGAACGAACCCCAGCGGGGTGTGGCCCCCGCCCCCACCCCGACCGAGGTCCCAGACGCCGGGATGGCGAATGCCGGGTCCCGCGGAGAGCGCGCTGGGCCCGAGGGTGGGGGTGGCGGCCCCGCGACGGGCCCGGGGTGCTCCGAGGCTGTGGGGGTCCCGGCCCTGCGTAGCCGGTGGGGCAGCGCCGGCCACCGCCCCTCCCCCACCCGGCTTCACTTTCCCTTGTTTTGTAAATGCGCCTTTAACGCCCTTAATCGCCCGTGGGGGGCGGGGTCTCTGGGAGTCCCTTCTGGGCGCCGGGGAGACCCCAGTCAGGCCCATCCCTGCGGGGCGGGGGGG